TGGCTCAAGATGCATTGCACCCATAAACTCAAATTGATACCCCTTTGAAAGATGTGTCTGTGTGTGTGGGAGTGTATGTATATCTGTATGCGTGTGTGTATGTGTGTATGGATTCACATAGAACATAGTGGTTCACAAAGAGTCAAATAATAGCTGGAAAGGAGGGAGAGTAGCAGCTTGCTTAGGACTGTGCAGTAAGCAGGACTTCCCGGGGAGGTGCGAGTTGGGAGAGAAAAGGGAAAACAGAGCAAGGTCCCCACTAAGACACAGGTCGATGTTATTGGAGCCTGGAAGAGAGTGGGGTGAAAGTCCAGCCAGACTTTGTCAGATTTGGGTTCTAGCTGCATGAGAGAGAATGTATGATGTGGAGCCTCAGTGAATCAAAAATTCAGAAGCACAGGGAGCCACAATTCAACCTAAGGTGTTAGAAAGTTGCTCATCTTTATTTGTATATTGACTTGCTCAAAACTTATACAGAATGGGTAACTGACAGAAGATATAATTATTCCTTTCCAGATCACTAAAAGAACCCCACCACTACCACCACACATACAACCTCACAGTACCCTGGGCCCTTCTTTGAAGGAAGATTCTCAGGTGCTCATAAAAAGAGACTCAGAGTAGGGGGTTCAGATACCTAAATTCTTGTCCTGGTTTCCGCTTCAACCCATGTTTCCAGGTTCTTAACTCCCTTCCATTGCTTTAGAGGCTTAAATGAGATAGTATAGGAAAGGCCGGACTCACATGAAGGCTCCTTTGCCGAAAGGTATGATTTAAATAGTGATTAAGTAATATGCTTTAAATAAATGTGTTTGTAATATAGTGATAAATATTAAGGTATATACTGTCTTTATGCAGCTTTAACAGAATTATAAAGGCATGAGACTCTGTACCTTGTTGTTTCTACTCAGCCATCAAGGTACACAGTCGGCCTCACATGGAAGAGCTGAGCCAATTTGTCTTCCATTTCTTGGTGTGTGGATGTGTGTGTGTGTGTGTGTGTGTGTGTGTGAGAGAGAGAGAGAGAGAGAGAGAGAGAGAGAGAGACAGACAGAGATAGACAGACAGACAGACAGACAGACAGAGATAGACAGACAGACAGACAGACAGACAGAGACAGAGAAAAATTCTGCCATTTCCTTTGAGGAATTTTTCCTTGCTAGCTGGATCTTGAGGCTGAGGGATCTCTGCAGTGACAAGTATTTATTGAGCCCTCACAGTCACTAGGCAGGAAAAGGCCAAGTCTTGAGAAGTTCCCACAGTCACAGAAGGCTGCTGGCTAGCCAGCCCCAGGATAGAATGTGAGCAGCCACCCACTGGATTTGCAGGGAGAGAGTCCTTTACCTGAAATCCTCTTCCAGAGTATTTTGAGTAACACTTTCCACACTTACAAATTGTCAGTGGCACAGGAACCTCACTTACCCAGGATGCCAGACATGCTCTGAATCCTTCAGTCATGGAACCAGCCACTTGTTTCTCAAAAATAATTGCTTATTTTCACGACCACAGGTGATCACAGTCTTTCCTTCTTTAAAGAGAGACACCACAGGCTGGGAAGGGGACACTCAATTGCATTTGAAAGGAAACTGGGTTTGAATTCTTTATGATACCATTGATCCTTTCTACTAGCTCGGTCCCTCTAAGTGATAATTAGGTGTGAGAAGTTGGCTGTGTGATCCTGTCTAACAGCCTTTAAAGTCTACCTGGATTCTCACAAAGGCCCTATGTGGGGCTTTTGAAAGAGAGTGGAAGTATCTCACACCAGTCTAGTGGTTCCTCTTCTCACTTAGCCTGGGTTCCCTTTAGATGCTTCTAAAAGGTTTGAATGGTCAACTGCGTTTTCGTTTCTGTTGAGAGGCCTTTAATTTGAGCATTCTTTCTGAATGGGAACCTTATGATGCTTCTAATATTGTATTAGCACTATTATTTGGTTGGAAGAAGTTGTTCCGAACATACTGAGAACAATTATAATTGGAATGTTAAGTTCCATCGCTGAACCTGTAATTCACCTGCCCATATAGGGCAAGGATGGCGAGGGAGGTTTGGCTCCCACCCAGATGTGGCATGATCAGGGTTAGCTAAGTGCTGGCTATGTGTTGGCTGTGAGCTGTCTCTGTGTTGGCTATGAACTGGCTATGTGTTGGTTACGTATTGGCTATGGGTTAACCACATGTTAGCTATGTGTTGGATATGAGTTGCTAACATGTTGACTACGAGTTGAGTATGAACTGGCTATGCATTGGCTATGACTTGACTCTGCATTGGCTATGAGATGGCTGTGTATTAGCTATGTGTTAGCTGGTTTTTCCCTGGTATTCTGATTATACTTGGTTGAGATTAAGACTCTGCCATGAGGCTGTCTTCCACAGAAGAGAGGGCTGGCCTTTCCATAAAGTCCATACAGGCAACTGGTTGCCCTACTGTAAATCTTTCTTCCAAAACCATAAGTCTGTTGCAAATAATTCCTACCCGTTCAACTCCAGCAAAAGCAAAGAAACCCTGTGGGTCTCTTTTAGAGGCTCTGTGTTTTATCATTATAAGCCAATAGGGTATTTCTAGAAGAAAGATATCAGCACTGCAGATTTGGACAAAGTCACTTTATTCCCTTGGTCTTGCGTCTTTGCCTTCTTTGTGAGGGGCGCACAGGCAGCAGGTGTAACAACTGACAAGCTGTTGAGGTAGAAGGGGGTGCGGAGAACTTGCTGTCAGAGGGGGTGTGACTATAGTGACAGCTGTGCTCTGAACATGTCTTCAGATTGTCCTGTGTCACCACTGGATTGGCCATTTTAGCTCACAAAGATCTTTGCCACACATTATTTATTCCTCAAACTATGAGGAAGACACTAGAACTATTCTTATTCTTTTTTTCTTTTTTGGGGGGGGGGTCTGGTCGTGGGGCCTGAATTCTGGGCCTGGGCACTGTCCCTCAGCTCTTCATCTCAAGGCTAGCGCTCTACCACTTGAGCCATAGCACCACTTCCGGCTTTTTTCCTTTTGTTTATGTGGTGCTGGGGAATTGAACCCAGGGCCTCAGCAATGCAAGGCAAGCACTCTACCACTGAGCCACCTTCCCAGCCCCGACTTATTCTTATTTTCAAGACAAAGAACCAGACAAGTTTCAGGGACTTGCTCCATGTCACAGTTTGGCCTAGAACCCAAAGCTTTTCTTTCTGCACCTGGCCCCCAGAAGTCAGAAATGATGGAGTCTTTTCTAAGTAGCTAAGAATTATGAACATACACCTGTACATAGCTGTGGTTGTGCCCTGTGTTTATACAGCCAGCCTAAAGATGACTGCTGTTGGCATAATCCCATGATCCACATAGCCTTGATGGGGTCTTGCTGGTGGAGACTTAGTGGTGGCCTGGTCTTCCATTTGTGCTTCATGCGTCACTCCAAAGCTTCAAAACTATGATGGAATTCATCAGAATGGAAGTGGATGCTACAATCAGGGAGAGGGAACACTAAAACAGAATGCAGGTCTGTACTCTAGGGACTCTGGACTGAAGTGTAAAGGCTGGAGGGTGAGGCCAATGGGGTGGGTCAGGACACTGGGGACTCACATGCTATCTCTAAACAGTGCCTGGTGCTCAGAGCCAGCATGGGAAGAAGGTTTCCAAAAAGACTCAAGTCAACCAAGTCTTGACATATTTTTTTCAGGAGACGATGGAAATCTAGAATATGATGGAGATTCTCTTGATAGAATTATCAAACATGAACAGCTGATTCAAACATTTTCAAAGTTCTATAAGCCAAACAGAAAGCAAAAGCAAAGAAGCCCTGTGGGTCTGTGCTTTGTCATTAGAAGCCATTAGGATATGTCTAGAAGAAAGATGTCAGCACTGCAGACTCGGACGAAGTAGCTTTATTTATTTTTTTATGGGTCTTGCAGCCTTGTGAAGGGAGTGCAGGCAGTGGGGGTAGCAGCTGACAAGCTTTTGGGGTGGGGGGTGTGGAGAACTTGCTGTCAGAGGCAATCATTGTAGCATCTAGTTTTATCCCTTTTTATACTGTTCTCACCTTTCTGTCTGAGGCCTGAGGATGGAGGTCTGTGTGCACAGCCCCCTCCTGAGTCACCTATAGATTTCAGGTTGGGGCAGGGGCTGAGGATGGGGCTTGCCCTGTTCTTAGCTAATGCCATATTCCCCATCCATCCAAAAACCTGTGTTGAAGTCTCTAAGCAAGAAACCAAGAGTATCAGAATGATCTTCAGTGGGCTTTAGTTTTCTAAAAGGAAATATATCACAAACCTGGTCTTTTACCACTCATTAGTAATGGCTCACTGTGACACTGTTCAAAAATGTCAGGGCAATAATATGAGGAGTTGTTGACTTTTAGAACTGGAAGTAAATCTGAGGACACATCACAGAACTGCTCAGTCAGACCGTACTCTTCGCTTTCTATCCTCTCAATGGAGGTGTGCTCGGCTGCTGACTCTTAAGTTCCCCTTTACAGCAGCTGTGACCAGGAACGTGGCAATGTCACCAGAGTTGGTGCTCAAGATAAGACAGGAGACGTGAAAGGCCACACTCTCCAAAATGATGGGGCATTCTCACCTCTCTAACGGGCATGATGATTGTGTGTGTGTGTGTGTGTGTGTGTGTGTGTGTGTGTGTGTGTGTATGCTGCTAAGTCAGGTTCTGCTCATGAGACCATCCAGGAAAGAAGTTGGTTCTGACTGTCCCTATTTGTTGCTCCATAAATTGGTCCAGATGATCACCAGAGCTCACTCTCCCTGTTACCTTCTGATCTAGAATGATTTGTTCCCATTCAATCGAAATATGGAAACTCCAGGAGTTTCTGTAAAGCAGATTCAAGGAAGAAGGAAGAGTCAGAACAGTGGCCAGTGGCCAGTGATCTGTGGCAGCGTGTCTCCTGGGAGGGGGCTCGAGGTCTTGATCTGACTAGAACAAAAGAGGGCAGAAGCGGCTCTATTTTTTTCTCTAGGTCACCCCAGGGAAGCAAGCTAACCTATTTACACGTGATCTCAGGGGAGACATCTTTAAATAGCCATCTTGTTCCCGTCCTTTTCGTCATCTTCTGCGATCACTCGAGGTCTCTCCCCCCTGAGCAGAGTCACACCTGCAAAACAGAGAATGGCCCTTCAATTAAATGCTGCTAATTAAAGTACTAGACAGCCTGTGTACCAGGGCCTAGCAACCCAGAAATGGCTCAGTTTCAGAAAGACAGGAAGGGGAGGGAGAGGGAGGGAGGGAAGGAGGGAGGAAGGGAAGGAAGGAGGGAGGGAGAGAGAAAGAGAGAGAGAGAGTGCTTAAGAGCTGAGTAGCCTGGTTCAACCTATTCAGGGTGCTTAATGAGGACACTATTCACCTTCTTTCTCTGAGTTCTGCTCCTAAGCATCGGCAGTGTTTGAACTCCGGAGTTTGGGCTTCTAGTCTAGCCACCTTCCACATCTGCCTCATACAGTGATGCGCCCTCCCCTTAACTTTCTCATCTGTGAAACAAGACACTAACCCTTACTATGAAGTGATTGCATCACTGGAAGAAGATGTGTGTACCTGCTTAGCAAAGAGCCCCACCTGCAAGTACTAAGGGTCAGTCTGGTCCTTTGGAGAAAAAATGGTAGAGCTCAGGAAATCAGACATAAAAACATTTCACCAACATCTGGGGAAAGCGGGCTAAGGCTCTGGACCACTCTCTGCCACCTTCAGTCCCAGCCAATAATGAAGCTCCTGCCGCTCACTTTAAGGAGAGTGTAGCTGTCAGATTACTTGCTTTAAGGAGAGTGTAGTTGCATGGCTGCAGTTTAGAGTGTGGTCTCTTGTTTTGAGATGACCCTTTTCCTTCTTTGGGGAATTAAAGCATCTTTTATGAAACTTTAGGGATGTTAACATTTCTGTTTTTGTATCCTTACTAGGCAAAATAAAAGGTTGTTATGACTTATTTTTAAAAGTGTACTGGTCTGTGAAAATTAGGAATCTGAACTTATTTTTTTTTCTTTGAGTATAATTTTCTGGACTGGTCAGCTCAGCAAAGGCTGGCTGAGGAGGTCAGGATGCTTCTGTATCTTCTGTGAAATATAATATGGGGGCAGAGAGGAGGCTGTGATTAGAGACTGGGCCTCTGTGATTCTTATAGTCCCTGGCAGCCCCTCCACCACTGGCTTTGCACCTCTGTCCCCTCCTCTCATAAAGGCTTCTGTCTGTGATATACTTTACAAAGATCTCAAGCTGAGGAACAGGGGCCTATGATAGCCCGAGTTCCTCTCAACAGCAGCAAATGAATGAAAACTGTTGATCTTAACAGCTATCATTTGGTTCCATGCCTTGTTTGTTTAGATAGACTTTTTACCAATTACCTAATATTTATTGGAGGAGAAAAACAATCTCAAGAGTCAGGCTTCTGCATAAATCACTTACAAGTGCAGTGAGAGATATTTTCTCTTATACCAGCTACATGGGGTTTGGGATTTTTATATGGAATTAAAGTTAGCATGAGGGAGAATACAGAATCAGCTATGGTGAGTCTCAAACTTTCTGTTCTTCCTTTCCAAATGCCCATTTATATTAAGCCAAATTTACATTTATTAAAACAGTGAGAGTCTTTACGTTCCCAAGTCCTGGTAAACATCCTAGTTACTCTGGATATCTTTAAAATCAAGTCAGAGATAATCTGGGTCAAAGGACGGGGAGGAAAGTCCTAGAAATTCAAAGATAGGAGGTGCCTGCTGAATGGTCATATTAAAAAGTGAAATAGCTTGTCCATAGGGGAAAAGGAGGTCATTTGAAGTGGAAAACGAGCTAGTAAATTAAATATAGTTAAGTATTAATGTTAATGTTTTATGATGAAAAAGTATGGAAGCTGTTGTGGTCTGGAATTTCAATGACCCTGAAAAGTTCATCTGTTAAAGGCCCAGCCCCCAGCTGGGCAGCCTTAGAAACTCTAGGAGGTGGGGCTGATGGGGGAAGAAGTTAGGTCATTGGGGGTGTGGCCTTGAAGGTGATGTTGGGACCCTAGCCCTTTTTCTCTGTCTCTACCTTTGACTCTCTCTGCCTTAGTATATTCCTCTATGTGTCTCTCTCTGCTTCTCAGCTGTTATGAGGCAAGTAGCTTCTCTTCTACACATTCCCTGTCACCATGTTGAGCCTCACCATAGGCCCAAAGACAGCATGACCAACAGCTGAAACCAATAGAACATTGTACCTGATTTTTTTCAGGTATGCATCCCCACAAAGGATACAAAGGCAACTGACTACACAGATACCCACTAACACCTTGACTTTGTGGACATGTTGCATTGGGTGACCCTGAGAGCTGGAGTGGGCATGTGTCATCACTGTGTTCTGTTCTCCAGATGGTGATGGGCGTAGGAATCAGGGGTCTGGTGTGACACGCTTTCCTGAGAGCAGAGCTGTCCCCCCAGGGAAGGTGTGAGACAGGCCATAGGACTAGGAAGTTCTGCCTTCGGTGAGCTATGAGCAGCAGCTCACATTCAGAGAAGCTCACTGAATTTATCTGAGGTTCACTTTACTCATGGGAAAAGTTGGCGAAGAAAAAACAATTTGTATTTCCTGTGGGATATGACGCCCAAGATAGTCTCATAGACTCCTCTTTGCTCAGGTCTCTACTAGTGCTCCCCACACACTATTCTTTACTGGAGACTTCTTTCCCTTGTAGGCAGGCCTTGTCTGCCAGATCTGGCTAGTCACAACCAACACTCTGCCATGCAATCACCAGGACAGGGGTTCTGGCAGCCGTAGGCCAAGTTGGGAGCAAGCCTGGGGCTGGCAGGGAGACTGAGATGAGCCCCACGGAGGGGCCATTCTGGCAGGTGGAAACTGTCAAGTCAGCTCATTAACCTAGGCAACAAGGTGCTTAGCAAGAGATTCAGAGCAGAGACAGTCCGCATCCAGGTTCTACTTGCCAAGGGCTAACGAGAGGACTCATCTCCAGAGTCCATTTGCGCGTGGGCTTCCCTCTGTGTTCTTAGGACTGCTGGCGTCCTTTGAACATCTGCCGAAGGCTCTGTCCTCATCAGCTTAACTAGCATTCCAATTACTGCCAAATCTTTAGATACTAAAAGGCTCTTCAGAAATGAAGTACTTCGGCTACTGTGCTAATAAAAGCCAGAATCTGACAAACAGCTTTGATTGCACACACGTGTAATTCTGGCTTGGACAAATTCTGTGTCCACACACCCCTTCCTCCCTCTTCCGTGTGCTACAGTGCCTGAGAAGTTGTGCTCTTAGGAGGCAGCATCCATCGCTAAGGGAATACAGAGAGTTTCTAGGTTCAGCAAGTTTATGTAGAGAAGTGCTGCAGCCAACAAGAATTCTCATCCTTGGAAATTGGTCAGTCTTAGGATGTATGATTGTGTGGAGAATGGTCGTGGTGCTAACATTCACTGAGTTCTTTCAATGTACCAAAACCCCACTGAGTGATCTGTGTACTTTACTGAATTGCATTAACACTTCTGTTGCCTTTTTTTGCTTTAGTTTTTTTTTTCGTGATAGAGTCTTGTGTTTCTTGCTCAGCACCATTCTCAGACAGCAACCCTCCTACCTATAGCCTTCCTTTTGTATCACAGGTGCATAACACCACATCCCTAATTTTTTGCCCAGGCTATCTTCAAGCCACAACCATCCCAGTCTCTGCCTCTTGAGTATCTGGGATTATTGTCATGAGCCACTATGGCTGCCTGATTCTAACAACTTCATCTGTGGATTATCGAATCCTCCTATGAAGATAAACTTCATCTATAAATGGAGATATCTACTCTATTGTGCTGTTCAGATCATTCTTTACAAGTCCATGGTAAATCCACACCATACATGTATTAGGGTCTCACTAAATATTTGCCCATGTCTCCCCTTGTCATCCTCCCCACACAACCATCTATGTAACACACATGTGTATACATCTGCACACAGCCTCATTCAGAGTCTCATATCTAGGCATGAGCATGAATATCTACTTCCCAGCTTGCATATGAATTTGGTTGGGGCAAGGATGAGTTATGAGGGTTTTTGCTCCACTTGGCACATTGGAAGATAGTGGTCCTTCCCCTACTCCTCTCCTGCCTCTCTTCTGCTTAGGTCATAGCACATGCCTCCTTGGCAGAACCAGCCATCAGCCAAGGTTTAAGGATGTGAGACTTGTGCCAGCCTGTGGGGAGGGTGGACCTCCTCCCTTTCCCAAGGACACACCAACGTTCCTGTCTCACATGCCTGGGAAGTTTAACCAGGTCTGCAGAAAATCACCGAGCCAGGGCCTGAGCAGTCCTCAAAGACAAACCTGATTGGCAGCAGCAAGGGCAGAGTACCTGGTCAACACAGGTTGTTGGGCCAAAACACAGGCCATGCCCCCAGTACCTCAGGGTGGAAAGAACCTGACCCCTATCCCTACCCCTCCTCTGAGTGCACAGGGCTGGCTCTCACCTGCTGTCAAGGGGGACGTATGCAGGGCAGGTGTGTCTTTTCTCCTTGGCTTCTTCTGTTCCGCATCAGCATTATGAAGAGTGGGGCTGGTTTTGCTTTTGGGATGTCTTTCTTGAACATCGTATCTTCTAATTAAATGTTCTGAAATCACACCTGTATGATTCAGGGATTAGAGAGAGCAGCAGAACCAGAGGCAGTAGTCTTACCTAACGTAGGAGGCCTGCATTCCAACGGATTCCCATCTGCACTCAGTCCAGCTTCCCAACTATTTCAATGGGAGAAGTTCCCTTATGGCAAGAATATTATTTATGGAGGCCAAACTAGAACCCCTCAAAGTCCCTGAAGAAGTTCGTGTCACTACCATGCCACCAATCTGAGGAGGCAAGGCCAAGATGTGAACAGGATTTCTTTTTTTTTCTTTTTTTGTATGTTTTTTTATTGTAAAAATACTGTGCAGAGGGGTTACAGTTACATGAGCAAGGTTGAACAGGATTTCTTGCAGCTGCTAGGCATTGGGTTGAGATGGAAGCTGGATTTGTCATCTACAAAGCTCATCTTCCGTGGCTGTTCTGTAAGCAATGTGCCACACACTTCCATCCCCTTGCCATAATTATTGCTCCCTTTCCCCCACCTTCCCCCACCTGCCCTCTCACCTCTGCTCTACCATCATTTAATAATCTTAAAAGACAGCTTTTCAATGAAGTTTCCAAAGATGCACTGCTCAGAACCATCTCTCCTGGTCTTTTTGTATGAGTCTCCACTATGCGTGCTGTACCTTCCTCTTATTTTCTTTTATATTTGAAAGATTGGTGTCTCATTTGGCTTGTCTCACTCAAAATGTACTGATTGGAAAGGACATTATAGAAATGTCTAAAAGTAAAGGAGAGAAGGAAACAAAGAAAAAAAATAGAAAAACCCAAGGATGCCATCAGGACAAGTTGCTCTTCATGAAACTGCTTTGCTGTCTTCTCGGGCACGGGGCTAGGTGACATGTCCGGCCTGCCTTTACGTCAGGAGAGGCTTGTGACACGCGAGCCTCCTCACAACCACACCCTGGCCCCCATCATGACTCAATGTTCACATTCAGGGTGGCTTTGGAAGTTCAAGGTGACTTCACCATAAATTGCTGAGGTGAGAGCTACACTGCCTGCATCTCTAAATGACGTGTTGAAGCAGAGCATTTCCAAGCTTCTCCTATCCGTGGATGAAAACACCATCCTGCGTTGTTATTACGGCATTGTTAATAAGCCATTAATATTTAAGTTAAGTTTGTGGAGAGCCATGTGACCTGGTGGCTGTGGCGAGGCCCAGGATCTGAGGGTGTGTCCCTTACCTGGGATGAAGGGAGGGATGTGCAGTGCTGGTGTGTCCTTCCTCCGAGGCTTTTTCTGGTCAGAGTCTACATTCAGGTTGGCCTGTGCATTTTTCCCCTTTCTTGGCTTCCTTTTGAGATCACAGTCCTCAATGAATTGGTCTGAAAGATCACCTGATTTTTGACAGTAAGTGAAGAGACCAAGGAATATGACATAAGTAAGGGCCTGTCACAAATGGGTGGGTTTACAGTGACACACAAACACATGGAGATTTAATGCTATTTTCATATTTTAAATATTGAGAGACATAGACATTAGGCCAAAGGTCTCAGAATTCACACACAAAAGAGTGAGGATTTGAACTCAGATTAGTCTGTGAGAGAGTCTGATAGAGATAGATGCAGAGAAAGAACAGATTTGTTCGTTTGAAAGCATCTGAAAGATTTGATTATATCATATATCCAAAGATTGCTAACTGGTCTGTGGTCAGCCCCTGACCCTCTCCCAGACCCAGAGGAAAGCCCCAACTTTGTCAGCTTTTCCACATCGACTCTGTGCTTGGCTGCCCTTTCTCATTTTGGCAACATGAACAGCAATTTTGCCTAGGTAAAACTTTAAAGGATTGTGTAGTTATTATTTTTACATATGTCTTCTCAATAATAGTATCTTTTTATCTCATTAGAAGCAATAAGTAAGTATTTGTTGAATGTGTATGCTTTGATGAATGGAGACGCAAATACACTTAGTGTAGGAAGCATTTCTATTAGGATTCAACAAAGGCAGAAAACAATGAAGCTGCTTGTCCTCTCCAGAAATTATTAACTGTGTCTGGACACAGCCTGGACATACCTACAAGTGTATGCATGGGACTCAGAGCTTAACCAGGACTCATACCTCCTTCTTCCCTCCTTTCTTCCATTCTTTCTTTCCTTTCTCTACCCTTCCCTTCCCCTGTGCCTATAGCACCCTGTGCCTCCTCTCCTTGTCTCTTTCCTTACCACCTCTCTTATTCCTTTTCTTTCTTCTCTCCCTTTCCTTCCCTTCTACTTTCCTCTCTCTAGTTCCCCTCCCCTCTCCTCCTCTCTCCTATCTTTCCCTCCCCTCTCTTCTTCCTCCTTCTTTTGATAAAAAGGGTATCATTACATAGTCCAGAATGGCTCTATTGTATCCTTATCTTATCGAGTGCTGGGATTACAGGAATATAACACCAAGCCTGGCCTCTTTCAATCTCTTCCTCTTCCCCCCCCCCCTTATCTCTCTTTAAAAGAAAATATTCAAGCAAATTTTGTTTTGTTTTGTTTTGTTTTTGGTCATGGGACCTAAACTCTGGGCCTGGGTACTGTCCCTCAGTTCTTCAGCTCAAGGCCAGTGCTCTACCATTTGAGCCACAGCGCCACTTCCAGATTTTTCTACTTATTTGGTGCTGAGGAATCAAACCCAGGGCCTCATGCATGTGAGGCGAGCACTCTATCTCTGAGCCACCTTCCCAGCCCTCAAGCAAAATTCTTTAAAACATTAGTTTTACGGATCTCGAATAATCTGCATTATTGATTGTTTTATTCAACCAAAGTTTTTTAAGGTCTTAGTGTATGCCAGGTCCTGTTTTATATTCCAGGAATAATAAGACAGGTAAGAAATTGTTTTTGCCTTCAAGGTCCTATTATTCTACAGGGCTGTTTGAGTCTAGGTGATCCTTTGTTTTAGAATACTCAACATATGTAAGGACCCTACCATCAAAAATACTTCATGACCATACATCATCATGCCTGGATTATCAAAGATCATTATATATAGCAAAAAATCAAATGGAATAATTGTCTTTAGAAACATTTGGTCACTTTCCCTTTACCTAAGGGATTTTGATAATTTTATCCAGTCATATCATTTTAATAGGCATTTATTGCAATAGGGTGGGGTGTGAGGCACTGGAATATATGGCATTTGCACACACAGAAAGAGGAAGAGGCACTTAGTGTCACTTAGGTCCTGGGAGACTTCACATCTAGCATGTGGGATGGATGGACACATTTCTGACTCAGTGAGTGCCCATGCTTGATCACTTGGTCTTTACTAATATCCTTCCTGACCAGTGACTCTCATTCAGTTCCCACACTAAACCTCTAAAGACAGCCTATTATTATCAACTCACTAATATTCAGATGAGGAAATTGAGATTCAGAAGTCCAGGTAAAGAGCTAAGGGGGTACACTGCTAGCAGGTTAAGGGAACCCTTAAATTTTGTTATAATACAATAGCTAAACCCCCTGCATATTATACATTGTTTAGGTTCAACCAGAAGTTGAATGAATGAATAAATCTTGCTTGGAACAAGTGGGGGCATCTGAATCCCTGGAGGCAGGGCCTGGGCACCGACCAGTCAGAGTGTGCCACACTCTCAATCTAGGGCAACATTCAGCATGCAGATAAAGAGTGAGACATTTGCTTCAATTTTGAGTTTTACTTCAGTCTCACTTTCCCTCATTTTGGGAGAAATTCTGAACATAAAATATCTTGATGGGAAATGGGGAAAGGGGAGAGGAGGAGAGAGCCATAACCAGGCAGGCAGGGCATAAACAAAGGCTATGAATATGCAGAAGGCCCATCCATCAAAAGTCTGAGAGTCTCATTTTTAGAAATGGGTAGAGGCAGCAGTGTTTCTGGTATTTTCATTACAAAGGTTATGCAAAAAGTCAGTTCTGGAAAGGAAACAGATTGACAATAAAGCAGAAAATGGCTATTTAAAATTCTGTCTTGATAGGCAAAGAGAGATATTTGAAATATTTTATTGGCACTGCACGTGGGGTGTCAGTGTGCTGGAAAATACTGGAAACAAAATGTGCCACGGCGTTCCATTTATGGCTCACAAATGCTCTTCCTGGGACTCTGTGAGACGCCCCAAGAAGAGGACCAGGCCTCTTCTCTCTCTAACTCTGATGAACGTCTCCAGTACTTCAGCTAATATTTACATGGCAGACCCCACAGACCCCTGGCTATTTGCCTGTCCATCTGGTGCTGGCTGTCACCAGAAGGCACGGGCTATCAGGTTTCAGGGGCTACTCTCTGACTCGACTGCAGACAGGATGGCAGAGGAACCAGCCTCTGACTTCCACGATAGATACTGACAATGACGTATTTACCCAGGTGGTTGCAGTGAGCGTCTAGCTTCTCCCGCCTGTCTTCCGGGTCCTCCCGTGACTGAACTTGCTCTGAGGTCATCATCTCAGTGGACATCATGAAAGAGGTGGCTACTTTCCTTCTCCAGCACTGCAGTAGGATGAGAGACAGATCTGTCCACACATCCACTTAGTTATTAACACACACATTTATTGAACAATTGACTATCTCGTTCCCAATTTAATGCCATCTCCCAAGTCTGTTTCTTAGACAGAACTACTGAATTTGAGGCGTGAGCTAAAATCAGTCACATGGGTTAATTTACATGTACGGGTTCACATGGATAAGTCACACACCCACGTAGTTAGCAGTAATCACCATGTAGAAAATGGTCAATATATACTTATTATTGGAGTTTCAAAATAAATACTTGTTAAGTATTTATTTAAATCTGAATTAGTAAGGAGTTGTCTAAGAGTTACAGAAAGTCTTAATCAACTGCCTGTATGTCAGCTCTGTTGAGTTCTGCAAAGTTGAGATTGTAGCTCACAAAGTTTACTTTAATTTAGCCACATGTTTATTAAGTAGCTGAGACTAGATCACAATCTAGATACTCAAGTGTCTTAAAAACATAAGCAGTCCTCCAAACTCAGATGCTTTCTACCCTTGTATCCTATAACATAGTGTAGCTCTCTCTCCAAGGCTGCAGAATGCCAGGAGAAAATCTGGGTCTTTGTGGAGCCCCATTATTTTTACTCCTATGGATCTGGACATCCTTAGACCCCTCTCTTTCCTGGGCACAACTCCATTGAACATTGCAGAGCTGTCAGTTAGCACTGTGGTCCAGGAGGTGTGGCAAGCATCTCAGGTCCAAATGCATTAAAGGAACTTTACAATTTAGATGGGAAGGGGGAGGGGAAGGAGGAAAGAGGGGGAGTGTAGTTGTGGAGGTGGGAGGGAAGGGAAGGTAGGGGAAAAACAAAGGAGGAGGTAACAATGCTTGATAGGAAATGTACTTATTACCTTGCTCATGTAACTGTAACCCCTCTACAGTATTTTTACAATAAAAAATGTATTTAAAAAATCCCCTCAATTTCTTCAGCTATAAAATGGGTAACATTTATATAAAATAACAGTGTATTGTGAGACATAAAGATTAATTACTTTTGTAGAACCTAGTTTTAAAAAAAGAGAAATTTATAGAGAATCTTCTCTACTCTGTTGCTCAAGTTCCTTTCTGATGACTGTCTACCCATGTCCTGCAGCAGCAGGGCTGACGGGGGAGGAATGAATAAGACTAGGATGAAGGAGCCGAGTGTCTTCTTCTGAGACCACACAGAGCAGCTATCTGCTATCTGCTATCTGCTCCCAGCATGTGTCTGATGCAGTTGTCTTCGAGGAGTGAGGGGCTCTGGGGAACAGCTGAGGCCTCTTGGCCATGCGCTGAGGTCATCCCATAGCAGATGGGGCCATTACTTGATCCCTCTAGCTTGGCTTTTAGTGTCGCTCTGTGCAGACTGTTTGTGCTGAGTGACTTCAGCAGACATCGCGTTGGCCAGACAATTGTTCTGAGTGTATGAATAGAGCCAACTCCTGGGGCCGGAAGGAAGTGCGGTAGGTGCCTAGGTCTCCCCCTACCCCCCGCTGTGTCTGTAAACAGCTGAGCTCTGTGACCATAACTCAGGAGTGGGTTCTGAGCTGAGTTCTTCAGACAAGGCAATAGTCTCAAACATGATGCCCACCACCCAAGTCACCAGCTATCCTCCTCTCTGGGTGGTCTTGGCCCCCACCACAGATGTGTTAAAATTCTCCCCACTAGAAAATGAGCTTCACAGAGCTTACACTGACATGTCATTTGTAGCTCACTGACTATCCAAAGTTCCTGCCTCTCTGGTGTGGACGTGGGCCCCTCCTGTCTACTTCAGGTTGTCAGTAAGTCCTCCTTGCCTTCACTCCAACCCATAAGCTGTAGTTCAGTGTTCTTGGACCTGTGACTCCTCCCTGGCATCCATAGCTGCTTAGTGATTGGAGCTCAGGATTTGGAGCCTGAGAGACCTAGGTTGAATCTTAGATCTGTAACTACAGCTCAGGTGGATTTTTGATGAAGCTGTTGAATCTTAACAAAGTAGTGGGGATTTTTAGTAGGCCCCATGCAATGGAATCCTCATGCCCACTCCAAGAAAAGCTACTGCTGTGGTGGTGAAGTTTTCCAAGACTGGCTTCTTTGTGGCTCCCCCTTAGACTGGCACCTAGGTTCGCAGGGTCCTCTCTGCTCCCTAGGTTTGCTCTCAGTATTCTTGTCTGTGAAATAGAAACCGTGACACTTCTCTCACATGAAGGAGGAGAGCCCCATGTAATGTTCAGTGTGGGCACCGTTGTCACACAGTGTTGGCTATGTCTGGCGAGGTGTCTGGCTAGTGGAGACCAGGTATAACTGGAATATTCTAGGAAACGTTGTAGTCTTTTTATTTCATTCAGCTGCTGAGCCTGGGCGGGTCAGCCTCATTTAAGTAAAGCAGAAAAAGGAGCCTGCCCCAGCTGGTGAACTGTTCGAGGACTGACTCCATGTGTGTTTCAGAGGCCTCTGAACAAGTTACAGCAACTAGTGATTCATCACAGAAGTGACATTTGCTTCTTCCCACAACAGCTCCTATCATCCACAGAGGAAACAGCCCTTCTGAATCAGTGTGAGGAGAAGTGGGTGGTGGGGAACGCAGAAAATTGTTTATCAGTGGCCGAGAGGCAATGCCCACACCTGGAGTTTTTCATCACAACAACGACCTATGTTCATGTTTTGTCTTATATGACATCACTATGACCTTCCAGTCAGAAACCCTTCTAACAAATAAAAGGCGAAGTTGTGGAGGGCAGGTGATGCTGGTCTGGCATTGCTTTAGGAATCCTTGCTAGCAGAGGGTATGGATCTGGTCCTGCTTCCAGAATAGAAATCCTTGCCTGTACCTGCCCATGGTCCCAGAGGAACCTGCCTCCTGCCTCCCTCACCGTTGGCATGCTGGAGGAAAGGGTGCTTTTTCTTTCTCTCTCTTTCTCTCTTTTTTTTTTGTGTGTGCTGGTTCTGGAACTTGAACTCAGGGAATGGGCACTGTTCCTTAGCATTTTAAGGCTAGCACTCTACCACTTACTTGAGCCACAGATCCACTCTCACCCTTTTGCTGGTTAGTTGAAGATAAGAGATAAGGGATAAAACTTTCCTGCCTGGGCTGGATTCAAACCATGAGCCTCAGATCTCAGCCTCCTGAGTAGCTGGGATTATAGATGTGAGCCACTGAGCCAGGTGGAATTGGTGCTTTTTAAGAGTAAACATGACATGAACTCATCTAATTTTTAAACCAAGAAATGAGATGATTCTGCTTTCTGTTTCTAGCTCTCCATACATTCTTCTCTAGTCCACCACCCAAGATGTCCTGAAGGGACTCTGGTCTTGTCTTGATGCCCAGGGAAGGTTTAGTCATGGCCCTTAGCAGCTCCCTGTAATCCAGGGGCTGTCTGAGACCAGTTCCTGAATAGTTGTCCTCCAGGGCTTCAGATTTCAACCCAAGACCTTCAGAGGTGCTGGTTGACAGGGTCTCCTCTCTCTCTCTCTCTCTCTCGTGTGTGTGTGATCCATATACTCTCTTGTGCAAGGACTTGAGGCCTCAGCATGCTGGAGTCATGCTGGCTCATCATGGGACTTGGACTCCCTTGTGGTTGCTGTCCACCCTTCCTTGTGAACGGTAAGCCAGATGCTCTACGGAAATCAGGACAGGCTTCTCAGAGAGCCCCAGTGGCCACAGCTCAAGGACAGCCACATTAGGACCTAGTTCCTTCCAGGTCTGGATTCCAGCTTTGCTACTGAATGACTTTCTGGTGGACTTCGCAGCCACAACCCATTTTTTTTCAGTTGTTTGGAATTTGTGATTAGAGAATAATGAGTTGTGTATCTGAACTGCCTTTCTGGTGGCTGTTGTTGGAGGGGGCGCGGGGAGGACATGTTCCTGGAATGAGAGGCGGAGAGGTGCAAAGATGAAGGCTGTCAGGACCCAGAGGCTAAGCTCCAGTAGCTTCCTTCCTGATCCCTTTTCACAAGGGCCATTTGAAAATGCAAACACCACTGAGAGAGATCTATAAACCACGGCCCCACCCACCCTTGCTAATGACAAAGGTTACACCTTCAGACTATAGGAACTGAGAAGATCCAGGAGCTGGTCACCTGCCTCGTAGGAGCCCCAGTCAGGTGCAGAATGGCAGGCATGCCCTCAGCAAACCTTAGTCCATTTTGCTACATCCAGCCTCCACTAGCCCAGGCTAGGCACTACATCAAATGAACAGAGTATTAAGGATCTCTGTAGTTCAGTTTGAGGTCTGAAGCTGGTCCAGGTGTAGTAGTTTCTCATACCATTGGGTAAGAGAATTTGAGAATTATACATTTTCAGTTCTGAGAATGTGACTCATGGCAGGCCACCCCTCCCTGACACCAGCCTCTGGTGCTTCAAGCATGCTGTCTCTTATCCCCCTCTCTAGCTGAGCACATGTGGAAGAGCTCTGTGCTCCTTCCATAATTCTCACATCTGTAAAAGGGGGGTCCTGTGACTGTTTTTTGGGGTTGTTGAGAGCACTGGCAACACAAAGTCTTCATGGCACTGGCCAGGACCCAGCTCCATAGATGCCGATGTCTGCTTTGCTCTCTCAGTCCCCTTCCCCATGACTGGAACCCCTGGGCCTAATGTTACCCAAACTCATTGTCATAATACTCTCCTCCCCAGCCTACTGTGGAGCTGATAACAGTAGAAATAACAATAGGACACCAGCAACCCATTTCCTGACTTGGGAAGATAGTTAAAGCTGATTCTCAGGAATGAGTGACACTTATTTTAGCTGTACCATATTCTAAAGAATAGTCCCAAAGCAATCAGATCTAGCTTTCCTTGGCCAAGGAAAAAAACTTTAAAAGCACACAGTACAATGTAGTATCCTGTTAATAATTCTCCTGGCTATGATCTACTGTGGAATTAAATTCAGGTCCCAAAGCACCACATGTTAAAATCACCTTTGTTCACTTAGAAAAACTATATTTGCAGCATCCTCCAAAGAGTGCTGGTGACTTGAAGCAGAGCAGAGGGGTGGTGGCTGGCAGGCAGATACCCTGGGAATGAGGTATGACAGACTGCCATGCTTTGTGAACAGGCGGACACCTCACTGAGCAATGAGATTGATGGAATGCCACACCTCATCTAGAAAAGTCGTGGGTAGGTGGTGACTTTCCTGCCCCACCTAGCCTCTACCTAGAATAAACCCCAACACCACCTGCCACCTTGTTCTGACCCAGTATCTACAAGGAAGCAGTAACTTACTGAAACTTGCTTTTCCCACCACAAAAGTTCCCAGGATAAAAATACAAAGCGCTCACCAATCCACACAGACGCTGAGTTGAGGGCTGCAGATGACTGGAAGAGCGCTCACCAAGCTGGGCCTGGACTGCTGGGCTCCTCTTATAGTGGCTGCTGCAGCCAGGCTCCAGCTCCTCTTATCTAGGGACCAGCTGCTGCTGTTGCCATGGAGATGCTCTGCTTCTCAGGCACCAGGGCAAGGGGGATGGAGAGGGAGGTAGTATGGGCCAGAGCACTCTCCGCACAGTACAGAACAGCACATGGAGTCCTGCTTGGAGTCTGGAGTGTGCAGCCCAGAGAAACACAAAGCACTACATCTTTGACTGCCAGTAGCAACCTAGAAACAGTGCAGACATGGAAACTGAGGCACAGAGTGACTTGCCTTAGATTTGCATTTAAATTTAGAGCATCTACAACGCTCCCTCATTGTCTCTGAATTTTATCAGGAGTAGGGAAGACCAGTAGTAGCTGCTAATATGATATTAACAGTCCTGCATTCCAGATGTCCTTCCAAACACTGCATGTATTGACTCATTTAAACCTCAAAACAACCCTGTGATGAAGGCATTGCTCACCAGACCCACCAGACCACAGAAACTGGGGCCCAGAGTAGCTGTGTTACCTGCCCAACTCTCACACAACAAAGTGGAGGTCTGCATCCAGCACCTGGGTGCTAAGTCCATGCTCTTAGCCACTCTGCTCACCAAAGAACATCTGGAACCGTACCTGGCAAAGAAGGCCTTTCCCTCACCCCTATCCCTTTCTAATTGGATTGAATTTTTTATTGTTGAATTTTCAAAATGCTTTAGATATTCTGATACTATCCTTTTATCAGAAACTTGATTGGCAAATGTGAAGGTCTTAATTTGCAGCTTGCGTAAAGCAAAGGCTACAAATCTGTATGAAATCAAACTTGCAAATAAATTAATTTCCAATTTTATATGACGGAGGTATCGCTGAGGCTTTTTCGAGGAGCTGTGGTTTTAAACAAACAATTGGGTCATCTAGTTCTCCACAGACAAGAAGTTTTTGGAGAGTATGAATTTCATTCCTCTTTGGGCAGACACAGGCGCCTCTCCCAGGTTCCAGAGGCGGCTGTTGGTGGTGTTTCCAGGGCTTTCTACATACTTTAATTGATCGGATCCCTCTGCCTTTTAAGCCAAATGTAAACAGCCCCTGGAGTTGGCAGATGGTCATGTAAGTCTATACCTCAGAGAGCTGTAAACAGCAGGGCTGTGTATGCAGGGCTGAAGTCATGGCCCTTGGCCTGCAGCACTCACTTGTAAATGCAGGGAACCACTGTGTCCATGACATGATTTGTAGAGCCACAAGTCCTCTGATGTATAGCCAGATCAGCATCCAGCTTCATTCTCCGCTGGGATACCTAATGGTAAGGAGCTTGGAAAGAATACGCTTTCATTTAAACCGCAGATTCTATACTTATGAATAAGTGTGATGACAGCAATGAACATCCCCAGATGACTTATTCCAGGCAATTTCTACTTATAACATCCACGTGCAAGAATTTCCTTTCACACTCAATCTAGGAAATACTTTGTGGGATTCACAGAGAGAGACAGAGAAATACAGACACAGAGAAAATATTGAATATTAGTGGGCTGGACTTACCTCAGAAGTCTTGCTCATCTCTTTCATTGTCTTCATCAGATTCTCAGAGAAGGAATTCACTGTCTTAGGTCAATCATTTCTGTAAATCGGCACCAATGTCTCTGTGGTGGATAGCTCTGAACACATTTGAGCTCTTCCTAATAGGGGAGTGTTTGAGTTAATTTATGAGAAAATCTGATCATATCTATTCATTTCATTGGAAGGAATATGGAACATATTCATTCTTTCAGATTTCATTTACTTTAGGCACTTCAGAGATAATTATAGATTCACATATATATTCACAATATACAGGAAGATAGTGCCCTTGCATATTCTACTTAGTTTTCCTCAATGGTGATATTTTCTGAAATAATTGGTGACTACCACAATATCTTAATCAGGACATTGATATTGGCCTAAAACAATCAGATTTTCCAGTTGTGTGTGGGTGTGGGTGTGTGGGTGTGTCTCTGTGTTTGTGTATGTAGGTTCTATACAGTTGTTTCATTTGAGTGCATTTACCATGGCTACAGACAGAATACTTAATTTCCAACAACACAGAAATCCCTCTTACTGTTATTTTACAGCTTCGGTCCCCCCCTCCTACCTTGCCACCCTCCACAATAATGGCTGGCAATCACTATTTGGCTCTTTGGTGCTAAAATTTTGTCACTTCAAGAATGATACATAAATGAAACAATATAGTACATAATCATTCGTATCAGCTTAATTCTCTGATGAGTTATTGAGATTGTTGTATTGCTAGTTCATTCTTTGTGACTGGGAGATATTCCATGTGATAAATATGCCACAGTTAGCTTAACCGAGATGATTCAAGCTTCTTCTATTGCAAATGATTGTGCTAGTAGCATGTGTGCACATGTATTTGTATGCATGTAAGGTGTAATTATTCTGGAATACATTTGCAAGAGTACACATGTTCACTTGTATGGTACTCGCATGTTTAATAAGAAATTGCCAAGTTGTTTTTCAGATTGGCTGTACTTCGACACAGACCAACAATGCACGCATGACCCAGTCCATTTGCATGCACTCAATATTTGCTCTTTTACCTGTTGTAGCCATTTGGATGAACAGGAAGTGACATCTCACTGAGGGCTTAATTTGCATTTCTTTGGGGACCAATGCCATCAAAAGGCTTCCATGTCACTGGCCAGTGCCACATAGTATTCAAGAGCAAATCTTCTGAGGATTCCAGGTTTCCCTTTGGTAAGTATGCATGTCCAGCTGCCTTTCAACTGGTCCATCCTCATGCTTCAGACTCTCCTCCTCTTCTGCATTAATAAAATGGATCTGGCCCTTTCTTTGCTTGTGCTTTAAAATCCACCTGATTTTCTTTTGAGTCACATGTTCTCCAATCTGGACATTTGGTTTACATTAAAAAATTAAGGTGATGACACTCAGTAGAACAGTGAAGAAGTCATGTGTGGCTTTTCCTCAGTTGTGACTCCATAGCTTTGCTTGGATATCAATTCTATCATAGCTCTGCTGATTTTCAATTAATAAGAGTCTTAAAGACAATAGCATGCTATAAATACTTTCTCCTGTACAGCCTGCCATCACCAAGAGGCAGCTAGCTTTGCTTGGGTCACTGCTTACTGCTCAGACCACAGGAGAACAAACAGGGCCGCCCTCTTCCCTAGCTTGCTTCTTTCCAGATAAGCAATTTTCCACACATGAGAACTACCTGGATTCTGGTCATTCTCCATAAGAGAGGAATCACTATAAAGAATCAAGCCTGGTCCCTCATGGTGCAGCCCCAGCTATCAAATGTGGGTGCTAATGTTTGTATAAGCCCTCCCCTCCCACCCCCATTCCTACCCCTGTTGGAAGAATCTACATGGAATAGGTATCAGCCACCAGATGGTGGCAGCAGCAGGCAGAGCCCAGGCAGAGCCACACTGAGCGAGTGAGTATGTCTATTTTCCCAGAGGTCACATCGAAGTTTAAGGTGCATGCAATAGAGTTTAAAGCTTCTGTTACTCAGAGAGAGAAGTATTTAGATATGCAGGGTTATCATATTTGAATTGTGACACACAATATTAATAAGCCAGTTCTTTAACTTGCTGTGAGCTTCTGGAAAAGTGTTGATGACGGTTTTTATAATACGGAAAAAGGATTTGTTTTCTTTCTTTCTCTCTCTCTCTCTCTCTCTCTCTCTTTCTTTCTTTCCTTTCCTTCCTTTCCTTCCTTCCTTCCTTCCTTCCTTCCTTCCTTCCTTCCTTCCTTCCTTCCTTCCTTCCTTCCTTTCTTCCTTTCAGGACTTTACCTCTTTGGTGTAAAGTGTCTGAAAAGTGACACCCAACTTAGGAATATGTGAAAGCAAATTTCAGACCCAGCATGTATTTAAAATAGCAGCTGTAACTTCTGCACTTGATTTCAAGAAAACTACATGCCTTGTATTCCTATTTTCATAAAGGAAATTTTCTTCCTTTTGCCAGCGAGAAGGTCAGCCCCTCTGTTTCTGGCAAGTTGGCGTGCAGAATTCAGCTGGCTCCTCCCAAATGTCTACTGTCCCCTGGCTGGGCAGTGACTGTTCCAGAATGCCCACCTAGGAGGGACCCAGGGGTGCATGCTGATCCAGAGGTGTGGTGAGAGGGGCTGCCTCTGAGCTGGAGCTAGGAAAGAAGCACATTGTTTCACTAGCCTTATACTCACTTAGGTTAGGTAGGATGATTGGTGCTAAGTGGGTCGTACTTCATCTTGGTCAGTGGTTCAGAAAGCCTGTTTTCACATTTCATCAGCCATCCTGGAAAAGGCAAGTATTGCCTTTAAGGATGGTTTTGAATATCACAGCAAAAGTCAGGGCTTGCCTGAACAAACTACATCCTCTCAGCCTGGTTGACCACTACTTCCTAGACTATTCCCCTCTGTTCCATCCAGGTGTCAATCAGGTATTGAGTATGGAGGTGTGGTCACATGGGACAGGCAGGGACAGGGTAGAGCATTGTCCTAAACTCAGGGCACCTTGTCTGAGTTGTAGTGCTCCTATAGAGACTGCATTAAGGTAGTAGGGCTAAGGGAAAGATTGGAAACCAAGTAAATGTTCTATGGTCCTTCATGGGTTCCAGAGGTTCAAGCTAAGGTCTTCTGGGTCAGTTCTTGGCTCTGTGCTGAGGCAGAACATTCGGCCCAAGAGTGATGATGGAGTCAGGACTTGGGCTTGCAGTTCTAAAGTTACCTGTGAATATATTTTAAAGCATACTCAGACTTCTCTAACATCTAAGCTGTAATGGGACAAGAGGTGTCAGAGGGATTAGGGACACCACAGAGTCCATAGGAAGATGCACAGCATAGGTGAGAACCTGGAAGAAATTGCAAACACAGAATATCTAGAACTGATGAACAGATCTGTAACTAGCCGGTAAGCCTGGCTTGATTTGATAAGTGAAGTGGACCTGTGGTACTGAGGGTTTAGGGCTAGCTTCAAGACAAGGTGTCAGATCACTCCTACTGTCAAGGTTGATGGGCCCCTGACTAGAAATGTCTGGGTCCTGTGGAGAGCTCCCTGAAGACCGTGACAGGCTTGGTGGTGAGTGTGGGGGGGGGCGCGGTTTGCAGGTGCCACACATGAACATCTCCAGGCTGACCACAGTCACCTTCTGTGCACATCTCCTCCATCATAAAGTGAAAATATAAAAGATCAGGGACCGGAGAAAGTAAGTGGTGTTCTGTCTTCTTTTTCTTTTGAATGCTATTTGATCATTCAAGTGTCTGTAGGCAGTAATTCAGTCGTGGTGAAATTGCCCACTAAAAATCATGGTGAATAGCAGCGCTCCAATCTCATTACGTGAGTAATGACCTAACAAAGCCTGACTATTCTGTGCCACCCACTTTCGTCTGTACCACCCTGAGGCCAAATCAGGAGTCTGATGCATTGTTTCCCTGGAGATGCTCCATTGTGCTCCTTCTGAAGATACACTAAAGGCTGGAGTTGGCGAGGTGGCTATGGCACTGAGCTGCTCTCAGCCAGCCAGTCACGGGGGAAAGGGTTGTCCTAGACAGAAGGGGTGCCCCACATTTCATCTCACTTAGGTTTTGGAGGAAGAAGTGGGCTTAAATACTAACTTGAGACAAAACTCCCTCCATAAACACTAATTGTGTAAGAGTAGCATCAACTTTGCATTCAATAGACTATTCTTTTGTGACCACTGAACATTAAGACCAGTTCACATATTTGGGCTAAGAGGCTTTTTGTATAACAATTCATAAGAAATATTCTGCTAAGCATCAAGTAATCTTGTCTTTAGTTTTTGAACAAAAAAAGTGATGGGAAAGGAGAAAAAGGAAAAGAAGAGAAAAAGGGAAAGGAAGGAAAGGGAAGGGAAGAGAAAAAGGAAGCATAAAAGAGGAGAAAGCAATGGAATCCATATTTCTGAGTATTTTTTAAACTATAGTGAAAAGCTCTTGGCGCTCTCTCTCTTGCTCTCTCTCTCTCTCTCTCTCTCGCTCTATCTCTCTTTTCATGTCCACAAGCTAGCCAGAATTTCTCCCTAAAACACTTCATGACATGTCAATGTCCTGTTTTAACCCCTCAATGGCTTCTCAATAAATTTGAGATAAAGCTAAAATCTCTATGGGTTGCTTAATAAGCTGCTCTAGTTTGGATCTTGAATGTCCCCTTTAACAAAAGACCATTTGTTAAAGGCTTGGTTGCCAGCCTATAGGCCAGTCTTTATGGGTTGAGATGAAGTGAGATTATTGTTGGCATGCCCTCAGCGGCAATGCCTATGCTCTGCCCCTTTCTTCTAT